GAAGTTTTGCTCTATAATGATTTTATTTTCAATATCAAATTATGTGGATTTTTGATGATTTAGTATTCATCTAGTTAAGGCAAGTATATTGTACATATATTATGCATTAGGAAAAAACAATTGTATATATCTGTTTAGGGGTACATCAGTGGGGAAGGTAGGTTGATTTATAAAATAACTATTATTCAAAAATATTTTACCTAGACAATTTATATGTATAGGAGTAGAGATTTTGTGAAATGGGTTAGGGTAATTGCAGTAAAAGTTAAGGATAGATTGAAAAATTGGGGCAGCAACTCAGCACTACCAATTAACCCAAAATTAAAAGTATTGAATAGAATCAAAATCAAAGAAATTTATTTCAGTTCATTTTTAAGTGGGTTTTCCAAAGGATTTTGGTGAAGTATGGCAGATGGGCAGGTGGCTCAGACAGGCGGCCAACAGTGTCCATGCAATAACTAACGAACCTTTCAACCAATGCTTATCAAATTTTGATATGTTGATACTAATGAAAAAATGGAGGTCATGTTCAGTATTGATGGTAGTCACTTTTACTGTTCAGTAGTTATGTTCCTTGATCTATTGAAAAATTACACTTTATGTTGTTTCCATGCAATGTCTAATGAACCACTTGACCAATGCTTTTAGAATTTAAGTATGTTGTTACTGATGAGAAAAAGGAGGTCAAGTTAGATATTGATAATTTTCATTTTTGCAGTCCAGGAATTTTGGTTTATGATAGATTGAAAAATTGCACTTAATGTCGTTTCCGTGCAAATATGTATGACTGTTCATGCAATTACTTAAGAACCATTCTACCAATGGTCTCAAAATTTTAATATGCTGTAAGTATAGGCATAACTTTGGTGGAAAGTTGTCTCATTGGCAATCATACCACATCTCCTTATTTTTATATAGAAAATGGCAGGTTAAAAAGTCCTGAAAGCACCTTTCAAAAATACAGAGACTCCCTGTTTGCTGTCAATTTGACAGGTCATTCCTAATGTTCCCATTGTACCTGGTTGTTCTTATTAAATCAAAAAATGAAAATAGTTGTACAAATGCTATAAACTCACTGTGTTTGGTTTTATGAATTCTAACCTGAATTTCAAATACTTTATGCCAGCAGTAAATAGGAAATGGAAGGTTACTGAAACATAGCCGACATTCGCTTTAATTTGGGAATCTGCAATAAAATAAATGTTGGAGTGAACAAAGACATTTGGTATGGGTTATGTTAACATGATAATTTTTTATTTGCTTTTTTTTTTAAGATACTTGATACTAGCTTGATAAAGGGACATTTAAGAGAGAATTAATACTCTTTTTGGAGGTTTTCATTTAATTTCAGTCATTGAAGTTCAGATCATAGAATGAGAAAAGCTTGTAGGCATTCATTTACATAATTCAGTCTAAGTTAATTTTGATGCACTATTATAAAAATGAGGAGATGTAGTATGCTTGCCAATGAGACAGCTATCCACCAGAGTTAAAATGAAGTGGTAGTACTGGTAAGCAATTATAGGCCACCATATGGCGTTCAACAATGTAAAAAAAAGGTGTTAGTCCTTTCCAAATCATACTGAATAAAATTCAAAGTCAAATCTTTAAGTCTTTAAAGACCTTACAAATACTAGATGTACACTACTAAGTTGCCTTCTAATATTCTTGAATCTTTTTCCCTGGAAATTCAGTAATTAATAACAGGGATACTCGGACTAACGCTGTAATCCCGGTAAATGGTTAAAACAGCAGATATGCAGTAAAAGTTTACTTTAAAAAAAACAGGAAGAAAATTTGATGTTGAACTATGTTATTTTAAAAGAATTGCAACACATTATACTTACTAGAAATACATTTTGTATTGAGTTTTGTTAATTGTATTACTATTGGTAACTATTTATTGTCTTAATGACTTTGTTAGCTCAAGGACAAAAGTAAATGTTTTTGCTAATTTGAAAACCAAAATATCAAGTGTCAATGAACTGCATAAAAACATGTATATGCGCTACTTACATTTATTAGAAATCTTGTATCTGTTAATTTCTTTAACCTCTGATGCAATATCCTGTCCTAAGTGGTAAGAATGAGTTATAAATTGTTTTTACAATAATTTAAAGCTGATCATATCTTAAAGGCTCCTTCAGATATTGGCTAGATATGAAAACATAATTATTTCAGTTGTTGATATATATATATATATATATATATATATATACATGTCTTTTATCTATGATAAACTGCTTCTCTGGTATAGAGCTTAGCCTGATCACCACTATTATTAAGGGGTTGGGGTTCAAACCATGTGCCAGGTAAAACAAAGCTTAGCGTGATCACCTCTATTATTGGGGGTTGGGGTTCAAACCATGTGCCAGGTAAAAACAAAGCTTAGCATGACCTCTATTATTGTAGGGGGGAAAGGAGGGGGGGGGGGGGGGGGGTTCAAACCATGTGCCAGGTAAAACAAAGCTTAGCATGCTCACCTCTATTATTGGGGGTTTGGGGTTCAAAGCATGTGCCAGGTAAAGCTTAGCATGCTCACCATGTGCCAGGTAAAAACAAAGCTTCTCCACTTGCAACCATTAGAAGCATTAAAAACAAAGACTGGTTGGTTTGGAAAAGGAATCAGTCTGGTATAAAGTATGGATATATTCATACAATATAATCACAGTAACATGATCTCATCCTCAATATAGTTTAAAATGATCTAAAGTAGTTCAACTAATGTATCACTATAGGTTATGAGTTTGAACCCAGCATGTGACAGGTGTATTTGACTCCAATCTTAATATTTTATAATTGTCAAGGATTGTCATTTTTCCTGTGAAAGGTCATTGTTCTCTCCAGGCTCTTTGGGTTCCAACACCAATAAAAACTGACCTCCAAGATATAACCAATAGTGCAGAAACACCAATAAAAACTGACCTCCCAAGATATAACCAATAGTGCAGAAACACCAATAAAAACTGACCTCCAAGATATAACCAATAGTGCAGACACGCCAATAAAAACTGACCTCCAATATATAACCAATAGTGCAGAAACACCAATAAAAACTGACCTCCAAGATATAACCAATAGTGCAGAAACGCCAATAAAAACTGACCTCCAAGATATAACCAATAGTGCAGAAACACTAACTAAAACTGACCTCCAAGATATAACCAATAGTGCAGAAACACCAATAAAAACTGACCTCCAAGATATAACCAATAGTGCAGAAACGCCAATAAAAACTGACCTCCAAGATATAACCAATAGTGCAGAAACACCAATAAAAACTGACCTCCAAGATATAACTGACCTCCAGGATATAACCAATAGTGCAGAAACACCAATAAAAACTGACCTCCAAGATATAACCAATAGTGCAGAAACGCCAATAAAAACTGACCTCCAAGATATAACCAATAGTGCAGAAACGCCAATAAAAACTGACCTCCAAGATATAACCAATAGTGCAGACACACCAATAAAAACTGACCCCCAAGATATAACCAAAAGTGCAGAAACACCAATAAAAACTGACCTCCAAGATATAACCAAAAGTGCAGACACACCAATAAAAACTGACCCCAAGATTAAACCAATAGTGCAGACACACCAATAAAAACTGACCTCCAACATATAACTGACCTCCAAGATATAACCAATAGTGCAGAAACACCAATAACACTGACCTCCAAGATATAACCAATAGTGCAGAAACATCAATAAAAACTGACCTCCAAGATATAACCAATAGTTCAGAAACACCAATAAAAACTGACCTCCAAGATATAACCAATAGTGCAGAAACACCAATAAAAACTGACCTCCAAGATATAACCAATAGTGCAGAAACACCAATAAAAACTGACCTCCAAGATATAACCAATAGTGCAGAAACACCAATAAAAACTGACCTCCAAGATATAACCAATAGTGCAGACACGCCAATAAAAACTGACCTCCAAGATATAACCAATAGTGCAGAAACGCCAATAAAAACTGACCTCCAAGATATAACCAATAGTGCAGAAACACCAATAAAAACTGACCTCCAAGATATAACCAATAGTGCAGAAACACTAACTAAAACTGACCTCCAAGATATAACCAATAGTGCAGAAACACCAATAAAAACTGACCTCCAAGATATAACCAATAGTGCAGAAACGCCAATAAAAACTGACCTCCAAGATATAACCAATAGTGCAGAAACACCAATAAAAACTGACCTCCAAGATATAACTGACCTCCAGGATATAACCAATAGTGCAGAAACACCAATAAAAACTGACCTCCAAGATATAACCAATAGTGCAGAAACGCCAATAAAAACTGACCTCCAAGATATAACCAATAGTGCAGAAACGCCAATAAAAATGACCTCCAAGATATAACCAATAGTGCAGACACACCAATAAAAACTGACCCCCAAGATATAACCAATAGTGCAGATCAACCAATAAAAACTGACCTCCAAGATATAACCAAAAGTGCAGACACACCAATAAAAACTGACCCCAAGATTAAACCAATAGTGCAGACACACCAATAAAAACTGACCTCCAACATATAACTGACCTCCAAGATATAACCAATAGTGCAGAAACACCAATAACACTGACCTCCAAGATATAACCAATAGTGCAGAAACACCAATAAAAACTGACCTCCAAGATATAACCAATAGTGCAGAAACACCAATAAAAACTGACCTCCAAGATATAACCAATAGTGCAGAAACACCAATAAAAACTGACCTCCAAGATATAACCAATAGTGCAGAAACACCAATAAAAACTGACCTCCAAGATATAACCAATAGTGCAGAAACACTAATAAAAACTGACCTCCAAGATATAACCAATAGTGCAGCACACCAATAAAAACTGACCTCCAAGATATAACTGACCTCCAGGATATAACCAATAGTGCAGAAACACCAATAAAAACTGACCTCCAAGATATAACCAATAGTGCAGAAACGCCAATAAAAACTGACCTCCAAGATATAACCAATAGTGCAGAAACGCCAATAAAAACTGACCTCCAAGATATAACCAATAGTGCAGACACACCAATAAAAACTGACCCCCAAGATATAACCAATAGTGCAGAAACACCAATAAAAACTGACCTCCAAGATATAACCAATAGTGCAGACACACCAATAAAAACTGACCTCCAACATATAACTGACCTCCAAGATATAACCAATAGTGTAGAAACACCAATAAAAACTGACCTCCAAGATATAACCAATAGTGCAGACACACCAATAAAAACTGACCTCCAAGATGTAACCAATAGTGCAGAAACACCAATAAAAACTGACCTCCAAGATATAACCAATAGTGCAGAAACACCAATAAAAACTGACCTCCAAGATATAACCAATAGTGTAGAAACACCAATAAAAACTGACCTCCTAGATATAACCAATAGTGCAGAAACACCAATAAAAACTGACCTCCAAGATATAACCAATAGTGCAGACACACCAATAAAAACTGACCTCCAAGATATAACCAATAGTGCAGAAACACCAATAAAAACTGACCTCCAAGATATAACCAATAGTGTAGAAACACCAATAAAAACTGACCTCCTAGATATAACCAATAGTGCAGAAACACCAATAAAAACTGACCCCCTAGATATAACCAATAGTGCAGACACACCAATAAAAACTGACCCCCAAGATATAACCAATAGTGCAGAAACACCAATAAAAACTGACCTCCAAGATATAACCAATAGTGCAGACACACCAATAAAAACTGACCCCAAGATTAAACCAATAGTGCAGACACACCAATAAAAACTGACCTCCAAGATATAACCAATAGTGTAGACACACCATTAAAATCTGACCTCCAAGATATACTGTGGATTCATTAATATTCGTTAGATACTAATTTTCGTGGATTTGGTGGGTACAGGGGAACCACGAATTTAAATGTTTAACGAATTACAAATTTTTTAAAGGAATGTATGCAGACTTGGCCAAAACCACGAAATTAAATATCCACGAATATGCAAGTTTTCCTCAATCCACGAAAATTGGTACCCACGAAAATAAATGAATCCACAGTAACCAATAGTGCAGAAACACCAATAAAAACTGACCTCCAAGATATAACCAATAGTGCAGACACACCAACAATCAACCAATCAATATGGTTTATAATTATTTCAAACAAGAAGCAAAATTAATTGTACAGCCTACAGGTATTGGAGAAATATAAGCATGTAAATAATAACAGAACATTTGAAATACAATTGGAGGCAACACTACAAAGTATTAAATAATTCTCTACATGTATGCATGTAATATTTGTCACTGGATGATAAACAGCTTTCCATGCCTTAAGCTTCCAACTATAATCTATGATATTTGGCAGATATTAGGCTTTTAAATATTTTAAAGAACTTTAAATATCTTCTGTAAAATTGTTTCAATTGTTTCATTATCTGATGAACGAACACAAGTAATTTTGAACTGTTTTTAGCTTTGCTTTTTATCTATGATCATGATGATGCTTAGATTCTACTATCTTGTAATTTTTTACATTCTGATTTGGGAATCAATCTTTAAAAATCAGCTGATATGCTGTGATTTGAAAGCACTATACACATCTGTTAGAAAAATTGCTGAAGATGAAGGTTTATATACCTACCAAAAATAAAAATCTTAATTACGTAAGTTGAGTTTCGTTTTACATCTTTATCAAAGAAAAGAGCATATATCTCCTGAGATTAACTTTTCCTAAGCCATTTGATCTAAATTTACAGTCTTCATTTGTACAGAAACAGATTTGAATTAAGAATATCAATTCCTCAACACATCATTTAGAATTTCCTGTTTATTCATGCTGTTATTGTGCATCAATCACCATGCAGGTATATTCTGTATCAATCAATTTTTCTTTGAAATTGTTTAACTTTATATTATTTTTTTATAGTTCTTTATGGTGAAGGTTTTCATGTTGGGAAAATTTCAGTCTTTATTTAATTAAGTCTCCCTGGCATTAATTATAGAGGTACAGACAACTGTAGGTCTGACCTTTTGTAAGTGTTTCAGTGCAAAATCTATATAGAAATGAAATGGAAGATGATAGAAGTATTTATCAAATAATTGAAGACCTGTCTTCATTTTTTATCAGATAGATTTTTTGAGGGTTTCCCTATAATAGCACAACCTTTTTTCAATTGTTTTTCCTACGTGTATACTGAGAGGTTCATTTATGATTATTTTAGTCAGTTTGAAATGTGTTTGAGTTTGCTTCAGAAGATTATTTTTTAGAGTAATACTGTCCTATGTAACTTAGAAGGATAAAAGCAGGAGACATACTGTGGATTGATTTAATTTCGTGGGTAAAAATTTTTGTGGATAAAGAAAACATTCTATTTTTGTGGATATTTGATTTTATGGTAAAAAATACAATCAGCAATGATATGAATTTCAGTTGTTATATTAAATTGATTAGCTCTGATGAAATGTGCCATTTTGTTGGAAAGAAACATTAGGTTTTGACAATTATCTGTCATTTTGGTGAAATGTAATGGTAAATGTGGAAGGTTCTTAAGTTGAAGAGATTTCCAAAATTTGAAATACTATTTAGGTTTCTATAGCACATATTGCAAAATTTGTGGTACTTTGCTGATTTGCATAGCGGCCATATTGCCTTATCAGGAGGACAGCCATTACAACAGGATTATTTATACATTGTACATGCCCCTCAAATAAAATGCATATTTGCCAATTCTTTAGTCGAATCAACAATTTGTCGAGATATAGGTAAATTGTACATGTTATTTGCCCTCTGTTCATGTACAAAATCAAATGAACATTGTCTAATTTGCCGACTTTCAGCATTTTTAGTTTGAAAATCAGAAGCGTAACCATAGTATAATTGCTATATAAAATAACGAAAAGTCGTAAAAAAAGATTCAAAATAGAAATAAAGATACAATGATAGATTGTTCATGATTTGTCTGCATAAAGGGAAACACCTTGGAGGTTGAATTTTCAAGTTAAAAAACTGTTATCTGACCTGCTTTCTTAAGTTTTCAGCCAAATTCTTATAAAAACATGATGATTTTATCATGAAGATTTCATAAATTGTCAAATTTTAAGCATTTGTCCTTAAAATTGCACAACATATTTGTAAATATCCCCCAAAGGAAGTTTTCAAAGACCCGTTAGTTTTAGATCGAAGACGAAAAAAGACTGGATTATCCACAAATTTGATATAATTTATATTTTCAATCTACAACTACGGTAAGGGAAGTAATTTAATAAAAAAAGGCCAAAGTCACGTGGTACAAATCATATGAATAAGTTACCTATGATTTTGCCATATGATATGGACACCCTTGACTAATGACATAATGATCTATGACTGCACAGACTCTTCTTTAAGAAGTGAAGTTGTACAACTCCTAAGTTGTATACATCATATTCTATTTGATGCTTGAGTATCTGATGGTAAATTGAAATGCTATGTACTTTACTATATACCCTACTGAAAATGAGTACGGGATTCCACTGGATTTCCAGTGAAATTACACTGGTATTCAGTGGAAAAAAATATTCCGATGGAATCCCATTAGAATTTCATCCAAAACATCTGGAATATTTTTCACACTGTAATTCCAATGGAAAATCAGTGAAATTTCCAATGAAACTTCCAAAGATTTTCCAATTAATTTCCAGTGGAATATTATTGTTTATATTTCAGTGGAGTTTTGATTTAATGCAAATATTCCAGTGGAATTTTGGACTTAGAAATTTAAAGGAATATATACTTCTAATTTAAATTTTTCAAATAATTAAGTGCATGATTATTATATAAAGGATTTAATTTGTAGCGTATAATTTGCTGGCCTGATAAGAAATTAAATATTATAATCATGATAATATATGGGATGTAATGAATATTTCATAAACCTACATATATACATGTATATGAAACATTTGTTCAAAAAATGTTACATGGTTAAATGTAATTTGAAATCACTTGCCTAGTAACAAATGAAAATAATCATTTGGTCTGAAAGACCCCCCCCCCCCCCCCCCCCATATAAAATAAGTAAAATGGTAGCTCCTCAGATGTAGGGTGAATATAATGCATCACCATATAGCCTATGAGTATGACACATTGAAAGGATACATTTTAACTATTAAGAAATAAAATTAAATGTGCAATAATCAGATAATATAAATAAAGAAATGAATATTTTATATCAAATTGGGTTGAGAATAAGATTCTGGTTGATTTAACGAACAAAAACAATTAAGATTCTTTTTGAAAAATGTGCATGGCTCTTAAAAGGGCCGTTTTAAACAGATCTGTTGCAGAAATTATCTTCAGACTGTACGAATTGTTAGGATAACTCCGTTTTTTTTCTTCAAGTGACCGTTCTGGCAACTGCCCTGCACTACAGTCTACATGTTGACTTCATCATGTTCATTAACTGTTACTGGTCTACTGTTCTTTTGAGAAAAGTAAAGTGAACGGCTTTCATTTTCCACATTGTTCTATAAACTGTTTCGGTATCTTAACTTTGTCCGTGTGATGAATTTTTCATCAATTTCATGTCCTGAACTCGGCACTGGAACTCGGGTCATATAAGTTAATCTATAGAAACATTTCACATATAATCCGCTCCAATCAATTGTACGCTAAATGTCTGTGTTTTGGCATAATTTGAGCAGAAAATTCGTGAAACTGTAGTCTATAATGTTGTTTTTCAACACACATGTTTACATTCATGGAGGCTGCCATTTTTTTCTACCAGACTATATATATAACCGCTGATTTGATTGGATAACTCTATTTCCGGGATTTCCGATCGGCCAATCAGATAGTCGTTATCATTAATACACGTAATGTGTTCAAATTTGAAACTAAAAATATTGTACGAGTATGTATCCTGTCCAGCATTGTCCAGCTGTGGTTACATTAATCATGTTAATAATAATTAATACTCAACAACCTTCGATAAATAAAGAAATAGACATTAAAGGCAGAACATTTAGGTATGACATTAGCTGATGAACCTGAGACTACTATAACACAGAGATTGGTCACTATAGATTTATCGGATTATCTGGGTCTCCGGTAGTTAGCTACGTTATTTTAACGTAGTTTCGTATTCGATCGTAGCAGACGACATATATCACCTATCACTGAGAATACTATAACAGTATCGGATATTATTATTTTTCTTTTAAAAATAATTTAAAGACAAAATTGAATTAAATCAAAAAAAAAAGAATATAGTTTTTATCTTTCAAATGCAGTTATCTCTATTCATATTTAAATTTTTGTTTTTAATCATTAGTAATTTGTTAATAGTTTGTTATTATGCGGCCACTCTTGAAAATGTGAATGTGATTAATCTTATCAATCTTACAGTTACATTGTTTTGCTACACGTCTGTTAATTGTATCTAATATACAAATATTTTACCTGTAAAGACAGGTAGTCTCAAAAGCATGGGAGATGAATTTTGTTTCACAGCTGGGTGCCCAAGGTACACGAGGCTCCGTTTATTGCAGTAAACTTTTATTCTATACTTGTATTTCACTGCTGAGTGCCCAATATACATGTTTATTGTAGTAAACCTTGTCAAATATCGTCGGTGCACTTGTGGTAGGATTCAGGAGGGTGTGGATGGGGTTTTATAGAATGGAGAAATAGGGGCAAAAAAGGTATAGAATGGAGAAAAATGGACCGACAAATAAAGAATAGAGAAGAGAAAATA